AATAATAATAATAATAATAATAATAATAATAATAATAATAATAATAATAATAATAATAATAATAATAATAATAATAATAATAATAATAATAATAATAATAATAATAATAATAATAAGTTTATGTAAAAAGATTTACATAGGATAAGTACAGCAAAAAGAGTTTTAAAATAATAACAAGATATATGTAAACATATTATAAAAAGTACGTTACTAGAATTTAAAGGTTAAATAAATCTGTGCGTTGTTGAAATATAATTGGCAAGTTATGCTGGGATCTTGGCTTGAGAGTATATATGTGAATTGTGTATTTTTATTTTTGCTTGAAAGTAGTATCATAATTTTTTGGATGAAGTTTTCCCTGTGTGTGTTGTATTTTGGGAAATTCAATAGAAAATGTTGACAGTTGGGCGGAGCTAGACAATGGGTCCCGAGTCTGATTGGTTCAGTTATCCTAGGCTGCTTTTCAGGTTAGTGGGTGGCGTAGTTAGTTCAGACTATGCTAGTTTGGCGTTCATTTTGCGGCCGTATTTGGTTTTATTGACGATATGGGCGTAGACGGTGTTAGGGCGAATGCAACCCACTGTCGTGTAATTAGGTGTTTGTATGCAAGGGATTTTTCCACAAAAAATCAACGAATTCGGCGAATTTTATTGGCCAAATGGTCGTTTAGCTGTGAAAATTGGGAAAATGTAAAACGCGTTCCACAACTTGTCTCTTTCTCTTTCGAGTTAGTTTCAAATCGTATTCAAGATGGCGACCCCAGGCATATAGTAAATATGGGTGCTAAATGAATCGCATTTATTATCATTTGTACGCCTGCTGACTGTGGCTTGTCGCGGCTATCAGATATGTGCTAGTTTAGCGTGGATAGTTTCGGGCACTGATTGGCCTGTTGGAGCGCTATCTAACCATGATGCAATTATGATCTACGTGGGACACAGTGGATTTGATGATACACAGTGGTTCCCTATATAGAAATATACGATATATGCGTATTACCTACGTTAGTAATTATAAAGGAACCTTGTAGATATGTTAGAGTTGGTGTAGTGCTATTTATTTTAAAGTATGTTTAAAACGGGCTAACACATGAAAACACGAATTGAAGCACAATTCTCACAGGAGGGCGCTATAACGAAATTACAATTTAATTACATTATAAATTGTTAGGGTAGGTCTCGGTTGGAACTCAGACTAGTAATGTATTACTAGTCTGAGGTTGGAAGGCTAGACATGTGTGTGGTTGCCCGTTTTAAGTAAATAATAAATAAAACAATAACATATTAGACCAGATATAGTGTCAACACATGCTATCGCGATATTAAAGCATGTTTCACATAGGAGAGTGCTTAAACCTAGTCACTGTGCAATTACGTTATAAATAAATAAGTAAATAAATAAATAAATAATAAATAAATAAATAAATAAATAAATAAATAAATAAATAAATAAATAAATAAATAAATAAATAAATAAATAAATAAATAAATAAATAAATAAATAAATAAATAAATAAATAAATAAATAAATAAATAAATAAACTAACTTTGATATTTTTTTTCAATATCTTTGGTTATGCCATGATATTCAATATTGGGAGATTCTGTCTATTAAATGTAATAGTATATTATCATAAAATCGGATGGAACGGATACTGCGAGAATATACGAACGTCATATCCACCTCGCTCTCATCGCAATACTCACACCTAGAGCAGCTAGAGCACAGGAACAAGCAGCGGTAGGGGTAAGTACTGAGAAATAATTCTCAACTCATAGCCCTGGGCTCATAGTTGCTGCTGACATAGAAAATAAAGCAAATAAATACGACCGAATAAACGGCATGGTAAATACAACGTCAAATCAAAGTAAAATGTACTTGGCCCGGGATGCCCGGTGGTGAACACGTGTTGTGACGTGAAGCCAGGCGCTCGTGTACGGTACCTAACCGCCAAGCTTCACGTCACAGAACATGTTCACCACTGGGCTTCCCAAGTACATTTTACTTTGATTTGACCATGAGTTTTTACCTCCATGATGTGACCGAGTATTTACCATGCCGTTTATTCGGTGTTATTTACCAGCGATGGCGGTGGTGTACTGAGGAACGTCGATAGACATAAGCTTTCTTTGAATTCAATTTTATATTTCAATATTGTTCCCGTGTTTACTTCTATTAGGATCACACCTGAAATATTTTAACACGGAATGATACATCTGTTATGTATTATGTTAACTATATAGTGCAATACTGTGCAATACTGCCAGTCGGTGCGATGTTGTCAATTCACCAGCCCTGGGCCTATCGGCGAATTCTTCAAGTTCAAAGAAAGAAATGTTTGTTGTCTTGTTTTTTGAGTTAAGTAGAGAGATCGATAGATAACGATAATTCTGTAGTTGTCAGTAGATAACCTGAGAATTGCTTCTAATGTATTACATTGGTGCAAGTCTTGCATAATGAGTAACCTTCATGCCTTTAAAGTTTGACATCATGTCAGCATCACATTTACGATTCAGTCTTGAAATATCTTGGAGTATCAGACTTTACAAACTTTGCAACTGGCGTCTTTGACTTTTCAAGCATCTTTCCCGCCTTCAAAATCGACTTTCCAACTTTGTCTATTGGTAGCTTTTCAGGCAAACAGTATCTCCTTTAAAAATGACTATTTAAGCTTTGCACACGTTTTTACCGACTTTTCAAGCAATTTTTCACCTTCAAAAGCGACTTTTCGAACTTTGCCAACGACTTTCAGGCAACTTTCTTGCCTTTCAATGCGAGTTTTTGAACTTTCCCTATGACTTTAATGACTTTTAAGGCAAATTTAGCGCCTCAAAAATATAACTTTTCGTACAAGAATTTGTATTACCGGTATGTTCATCTGCTTTCTCGAGCGATTCTCCGAACTTTGTCAATAATTTTTCAGACTGTTTACTTACATTCAAAATTGACTTTTAAAACTTTGCAAATGATGACCTTCTTGAATATCCTTGGAACATTCTGGCCTTCAGATTTGACTCCCTGATATTTGAGTTTATAGGCAAACGAACTTTGCAGACAATTTTATTTACTTTTAGGGCAACTTTCCCATTTTCCAAATCGAGTTTCTAAGCTTTGCCGACGACTTTTCATGACTTTTCAGGCAACCACCCACCTTCAAAATCAACTTTTCGAACTGTCTCTCTTGACTCTTCAGGCAACATTCCCGCATTCCAAAGCGTCTCTCTGATATTTCTCTATGTCTATCATGAGTTTTTAGGCAAATCTAGTACCTTGAAAAACAACTTTTCAAAATTTCCCGTCTGCTACTAAAGCGAACTTTCGCCGACGACTTGCTCCGCTTTTCAGGCAAATTTTCCTTATTTCAAAGCGAGATTTGGTACTTTGCAATTGCCGATCTTTATTTTTTAGACAACATGCATTCCAAAGCGACTCTCTGATATTTGCCAACGACTTGCATGAGTTTTTAAGGCACATTTAGTGCCTTGAAAAACTACTTTGCAGACGATGTTATTTACTTTACAAGCAACTTTCTCGTTTTCCAAAGTGAACTTTTGTACTTTATCCATAACTTTTATTACTTCTCAAGCTACCTTCTCACTTTGAAGTTCCTAAGCGACCCCCCCCCCCCAATAATGATTTTATTTATTTTCAGGCTACATTCTTGCCTTCTAGACGAACCACCAAATTTTGCCTACAACTTGCTTGACTTTCCAGCCAATTTTCAAGCATACAAAAGCAACATTTCTAACTTGCAATTGGCAAATAGCTTTTATGACTTTTCCACCTCCAAAGTGACTTTTCTTACTTTGTAGATGGCTTTAATTATTTATGAGGAAACTGTTCTGGGCCCAGAGCGACTCTCCGAACATTGTAGACATTGTAGTCTTTATGACTTTTCAATCAAAACGTCTTCAAGGGCGAATAACGAACTTTATGCGTTTTTTTTTCAGGCAATTTCCCTACTATTCAAAGTGACTTCAAACTTTGCAGAATGATGCCTTTTATGGCTTTTCAGGTTACTATCCCGCCTACCAAAGCGACTCTCCAAACTATGTAGACGGATTTCTTTACTTTCCAGAAATTGTTATTCGACGTGTTAAATGTTAGTGAAATCAACTACATAACAAGTTTTGGTGAAATCGGCCACATATCAAATGGCAGTGAAAGAAATCAAATGTCAAATCAACTATGTATCAAATGTTGTTTAAGTCAACCATATATCAAATGTCAGTGAAATTAACTATGTATCAAATGTTGGTTAAGTCAACCATATATCAAATGTCAGTGAAATCAACTATGTATCAAATGTTGGTCAAGTCAACCATATATCAAATGGCAGTGAAATCTACCACATATCAAATGTCAGTAATTCACATCCATTATCAAATGTCAGTAGTGAAATCAAGGACATATAAAATGACAGTGAAATCAACCCACATATCAAATGTCAGTAAGTAAAATCAACCATATATCAAATGTCAGTGAAATCAACTACCGGGTATGTATCAAATGTTGGTGAAGTCAACCATACATCGAATGTCAGTGGAATCAACCAAAGGTCAGTGAAATCAACTGTATCAAATGTTAGTGAAATCAACCAAAGGTCAGTGAAATCAACTGTATCAAATGTTAGTGAAATCAACCACATAATAAATGTCAGTGAAATTTATCACAAATCAAATGCCAGCAAAATCAACCATACATCAAATGTCAGTGAAATCAACCACAGGTCAAATATCAGTGAAATCAACCACATGTCAAATATCAGTGAAATCAACCACATTTTCAAATGTCAGTGAAATCAACCAAATATCAGATGAAATCAACTACATTATCAAGTGTTAGTGCAATCAAACACATATAAATGTCTGTGAAATCATTCAACTTCATATCAAATGTTAGTGAAAACAACCATGTATAAAAATGTCATTCCACATTCACCACATAAACTACAGAGATCACAATATCTTGATGTGATTATACAAATACCAATGTATCAAAAAGTAGATTTTATTAAATAATTGCATGCTAGTATCATATTAATTTTACACACATTAATACATGAAGGCTGACGTAAACATACATCAAACATAAAAGGCACATACCGTAATAATGTCAATGACAAGAAATGTACAAGAAAATATATATACAAAGGTGTGTTGGTTCTTAAGAGCATTGACCCCCACTCCCATACATGTACAATAAAGTCGTCAGAATATAAAATATTATCCATTATACTTTGCGGACACATGGCATGATTGATGTCATTTTATGGCACACATAGTGTTTGTATATCAAAATTGTACTCAACTGTAAACAATTTCACAAGACAATATTTTGTGAATGTTGGTTTCATTGAGTATTGCATCTCAAGATCATCACTATAGCTTATTAGGAGGATGATTTTAAAGCGAGATGGTCATCACCTGCGCATGCGTCAGATGGCTATAGCGTGTCATTGTTCACAAACAATGCGTTTTTAGAGCGTGTTGTTATCGTTGCTTGTGACTCAATTCCTGCGCAAGTGACGACCCTCCCACTTCAACAATTCTGAATTACTGCAGAACACCATATCACAGTGTTCTCAGCCGTACAAGCATGACTCTTTTACCAAGTGTGACGACACAATACTGGTATATGTTAAAAACACATATGCAAATTACATTGTATTATTATGCAAAAAAGTATGACAATGTTTATGCGTTTACCTGGAGAGAACAGGGAAATAAACAATCAAATGTGAAACAACTTTCAGACATGCTGAAAATCTGAAATTTGTAGCATTCAGTAGCACACAAAATGTTTCCAGGGTGTGCTAAAAACAGTGAGTTGTCACAGCATCAAAATTTCATGCTTGCAAATTCATCTAAATACTGAATTTACACTACTATCAAGTTTTATTTGTAAAGAAAAAAAAATTATGAAAGTCGCTGTCGTAGGACCCCCAGGGCAATTTTTGCTACAAAATTTCACTGATTTTCGAAATTCACAAAAAATGGTCTCTCATGAAATTAAAGGGATTTACAGTGATCAATTTATAAACATTTCTAGATGGAAAGCTAGCACTTTACAGTGTGTTTGATGGACAACTTGCTCTGTGAACCAAAAAAACAACAAAAGAGTTAGAGTTTCTTACAAGATTTATTTACAGATAAGATGTTTTTAAAATTCTATCCATAATGTACATTTAAAGCACAGCAATTCCCCACACATTAATTTTACAAAATGATTCTTTACAGAACATTAAACCTGTCGTAAATGAATGAATCAATCATCATGTCCATGATTGCAGAAGTTCAGGTTTTTGTAAAAAAATTTAAATCAGGAAAATTCAGCTGCACAAAAATTGGTGATGTTCTAGTACTGAACAAGCATGGATGGTGGCAGATTGTGAACTGTTATTGTTGGTGTGCCTGGCTTTCGTAAACTGGGTTGTGCTTGGCCCATCGCTGCTTCATAAGTTTGCTGTTGGGATGAAATAAAAAAATAACTTTGCATGGAACATTTAATGGTGAACAAGCTTCACTAGGACAATGGAATTTGTTGATTGAACCAGTGATTGTATTTAACAAGACAAACTGACAATCTATTTCGTGTATCTTTACTATGGATGAGCAGTGTCTGCCGTACACCCAGCACGGGTAACTATTCAGTCGGGCTGGTGAATATCTCAAGTTACTAGCTCGAGTCGGGTAGATTTTTAGAGAAAATAAAAAAAAAATTACTTTTTACAAAAATCACAAAATATCTATGGATGTGTGATTGTTGTCAAAATTATGTACCTCGAGGTCTGATGTAACGATTTTGACACATGCAACATGGAAAACAAGTATAAACAACAACAATCTATGAACTATGGATGATTTAGCGATTTGAACTCTCACACTATGCATGAACGCTCACAATATGCAAGTTGACATATCATTCTACTCAGTGTTTTTACACTGTATTTTGAAAATGTTGAGTCAGTTTTTAGGAATCGAACCTCCAAAAGAAATTCCAAAGAGGTGAAAAATTGTCCCATCGCGGAAAACTGAATTCAAGTGGATGATTACCAATGGAACTATCAACAAGCAGACAGTTTATTGCTGCAGACTGCAAAGAACCGACAAAGACTGAACACTTACTCGTCTCTCTGTCCTCATCTTAGCGTTATAAAATGCTGCTGAATCAGGATTTTCCATCAACAACTCCATCTGTAATCTTTCAAATCTCTCCCCTTCATCTTCAGGCTGGAAAAGGGAACAAAAATGTTTCATTTTTTATTCTTATATTCCCCCCAAAATCATTCGGGCACAGAGCTTGAAAGATTTAGAAAAAAACACTGAAATAGCGTGCAGTTCTCATTGTCAGCAAACTAAATTATGCTTACCTCTGCATTGTATGTTGTACCAAGTCTTGCACCGAAACCAGCTTGGGCACTTGACTGTTCATCTGAAGTGGTCAGGAATGACTGTGAATACCAGGTATCAAATTCTATTATAGAGAAAAAAGAATTACGATCAGTTAGCCATCTCAGCTGTATCACATGTCCTTGTTTTACAAAATATGTGATTTTAATATAGATTACATGCAATGTAATATATAAGACTTTATTACTGTAAAATGACTACATTTTACATATTCACTGGGTTTTAATTTTACTGCATTTTCCAATCGGCGAAATAAGCAAAATTAAAACCCAGTGAATAATTAATCTTTTTACAGTATTAGCTGGCTTTGACTTTTGTTGATAGCTATACAAACTAAGTTAAATGACTAAGTTTCTTTTGGAGCCAGAAACTGAACGTGTCCACCATTTGACTCACCTTGAATAAGCCTTTGTCTGCACTGATCAACTAACTTTTGACAATACTGCACTTCAGACTTGACATCTCGAAGTTCATCATAATCACTACGATATGATGATTTCAAATCTTTTAATTTTTTAATCAACATAAACTCTTCTTCATCTATTACTGTTTCCCCATCTTCATTGACAAATTCTCCTGTGAGTGAAAAAGTCTGTTTTAAATTTCAAGTACTATATTCAGTATAAGGGTGAGTAATATGCATTATTCACAGACACAAAATATCAGAAAGGGGTCTTTTTTCAGAACAAAAAGGAGTCCCACTTTTGTTGATAATGCCATACCCTTCAAATCTTCTGTGCTTGTTCACGAGACTGGAGACAGGAAAGTACAAATCAGTGCAATCACTGATTCACCGTTGATTAAATTCAGAAGAATAGAAATAGAAATAATTTCTGTGTCATAATGATAGCGTAGCAGTGAAGTATTGCACATGCAGTGTTCATGTGCCATTAAACATTCAATGTTTACTTTATTTCTTTTGTAATATTTGTGTATTATTGAAAATGTAATTGACAAATACTATTGTGACAAAAAACAACTATAGGAACTATCAATATGACATAATGTGAAATTATCAATAATATAATATTATTGACATGACTACACAACCACAAACTGAACAATCCAGCCAAAACTTTTTATCTTACCTTGTTCCATTCTATCACTTCGTTTCATTTCCAGCGCTTCTCTGGTTGTGTCAATTTCAGTTTTCGTACCGTTGATTGTTTTCGCAAGATCTCTGCATTGTTTCTTTTTCTGGCTTAAAATGTCTGCAAATAACAAATGTATGAAATGTTTACACTTTCATTTTGAAATAAAAAATTAATACAGTTTTCTGAATAATTACATATATTTTATATTCTGTTTTGTCAATCCTGCTTGTGACTTCAGCTTGACAATATTTTGGATGTCATTGAAGTAGTAGTTAACAGAAAAAGCATTTTTTCTGATTTTCCTGTAAACAAACAATGCATTTTACATATGCATGTATGTCAATATGATATCCATATCGAATAAAGCGTGGCACAACAGCCAGTGCCTTTTTACTTAATCATACTGTACACTGCTTTCATTTTATGAAAGAAAAATTTTGGCAAGTTAGCAAAAATCACAACCCACCTTTATTTTCAGTGAGAATCCTGTTTATTTCACTGCCTTTCTCATGTTTAAATTCTTCAAACGCCACTGTCCTCAAGGGTGGCGTACTTTCTCGCGGTGCCATCTGATCACCTACTGCTCCAGCTGACCCACTCACTGATGTGGCATCAGCACCTGCCATTGATTCCCGCGTATCGGGGGGCTGCCTGGTTGGTGAGGAATTCTCAGTTTGCAGGGTGCTCGGAACTGGGCTAGATGGAGCTCCGCTCTTCGACGGTGGGCTGTTGAATTGAATGAAATCGTTCCCCACGCAATAAGCATAAGTTACACCAAATATAGACACCATAGCAAGCATGACATTTAGACAGCAATTCAGAGACTTATAGATCAACACATGCAACAGTTGATTTCATAGTGGTAGCAATCATATAATCAATGACATGGTGTACATTTTATTTATGTGACAACCACAGTGCAATATGATGTATGGAGTACAAATGGTATGGTCACCAATGTTTTAAACTAAAGATCACCAGCCATTTTCAGCACACACACCTGAAAGCACCATTACGACAAACAGACAAATTATGAAGCTACAAACATTATGAACAAAGCACAAATAGTTTACAAATATTGCTTATACTTATATTGCAAATATTGCATATACTTATATGCATTAAAAGAGATGTATATATATATATATATTAACTGGTCATCCCTACAGTACTGTAAAATAGAATGACCCACTATCTGTTGATATTGGGTGATTCCATTATTACAGAAAATGTAGGGAATACTACATATGTTACCTTAATACTAGTATATCACTTTACAGTGCAGATACAGCATGCAAAGATGAGGCAAAGAAACTATAGAACATATATCACTACATTAACATGCAAATTTAAGTGAGGTCACATGATTCAACACTGACAATGACCAATCAGAAATTGAGCAGTTACAGGTCTTCTTCCTAATAAGGCATCTGCTTTCTCATTTAATCTGGAGTTCCTAATATGGTAATTAGGTTTTCCAAATATGGTATTCTGCTCTCCTGATACTGGATGCATAAACAAGACATGCAGATGAGGTAGAACTAGGAGGATTAACGTAGCATAAGAACAGGTCATGCAGATATTTACATTTATAACATGATGAGGACGCTATTACAGCCTGGTACTGACTAAGTTCAGATTAGTATCACAGCACATCAGATATATGGTTAAAATTAACGTGCAGCTTAATGTTCAATGTATGCACTTTGCAAAGCCTCAAACACACACACAAGCATTCAGCCCTATACACATCAACTTTTTTGTTATTCTCAACTAAATCTAGTGCTAATATGGTAATTTAGATTTCCTAATATGGTAATCAAGTTTCCAAATAAGGTATAGTGATTTCCTAATATGGTAGTCTAGATTTTTATGACATGGAAATTAGATTTTCCAATATGGTGTTAATCAGAATTTTCTCGATGCTAATTAGGTTTTAAAATTTGGTAATTTAATTTGAATTTCATAATAATCTGCTTTTCTATGGTAATGTGCCTTCCTAATATGATAATCTTTATTTTTTAATATGGTAATCAGGTTTCTGAAAATGGTAATCTGTGTTCCTTATAAGATATGAATTTCCTAATATAAAACTGAGGTTTCTAAATATGTTAATCTGCTTTCGTACTTTGGTAATCAGTTTTCCAAATATGGTTATACACCATACATTAATTATTATAGTTTTTGTAAGCTTAAGAGCAAGAATTTGATTATCTGTATTCTGCAAGAAATTAATTGGAATCTAAGGATTATTCGAAACTTCAATATGAATAACTAATGCTAAAGACGACAAATATTACAATAGTTGTCAATGGGCTCAGTATAAATCTGTCACAATTATAAAATTATAGCCAGTAATCAAATTGATAATATCATATTTGCACACACGCTAGATATTAAAAGCTTCACACCGTTTTTAGAGAAGTTATGGTTGAGACCCGCAACATGTGTTAATAATAAGGACAGTAACCACTTCAACCAAATTAGGTCATATGTGTGTATGTTTGATTTCATTTTATTTTCATATACAATTTATTTTAAGTATGGTAGCTTAACAAAAAACCAGTGAACATAGTTTCTTGTTATAAAACAGTGACAATTATTATATATCACAGCCAAAATTATTTGATGGGCAGAAGGTGCAACTGCACCTTATAAATATGGTACTTTATTTTGTCAAACTTAAACACATATAGATGAAATCAAACATATTTCCGCAATGTAACACTGCAAAACACCCTGGCATATGTTATTATAATTACTAAGCATATCTCACAATCAGCGTTTTTTTTGGTTTTCCCTCTAACCTTTGATTACTATTTCACCACAAAATACAGACAACCACCACCGTCACCACCATGCAATGTTTGTGCAAGTGCTTTTTAGTGCTTAGAGCTCTTAATTTAAATTAACCAAATCTCTTACACCAAGATAATTTTAGTATTCTATTATAGCTGCGATTTAACAAAATGCTTAAAATCACACAGGGTTAGTTAGTAATTTCCCAGTACCATGTGTCAAACACAGTGCAACAAAACACATCTGAACTATAGTTAGCATCAGGATGTCTCAGTCAGCTCATGTATACCTTCCATCCCTATCCCTAGCACAATGATTTGACCCACCAATGGGTTTATATACTGGTAACCCCCTTGACCAAACCACTGTGCTGGGAATACAGGTGAAAGGGTAGAAGACAGGTAAACTTCTACCTGGCTCTCTCCTTGCTCTTTCTACTCTTAACCCTTCTAGCAGCTACAACAGATGAACTGGCTGGTTTAGAGGAGGATGGAGCAATGCCAATTCCAAAGTTTTGTCGATCTACATCGCCAACGTACGATACTTCGCCATTCTCATCAAAAACAACTCCAGCCTATAAAGATGGAAGGGACAATAAATAGAAAAAAAAGAATTAATACAATTAGTGATTTATCCCAGTGATAATACCAATTTGTCTACCAGTATGCCACCATCTTTTGAATGTACAGAGTAGCTACATGTTTGGCAGTTATGCATTTATGTGTATCTGTAACAAATTAACAGAGCAGGGGGGGATATGGGTGGGAGTGGGGGGTCATAAACTGATGGTAGACAAAGGATGATCACACATGGGATTTCACATACCATATTTGTTCTATTAGAAGCATATCTACTTGAATTTACAAAAATTATGTGAAATTAGTAAACTCGCACTCACGCCCAAAGCGAATGTTTACGTTTTCAGTAGAACTTCTAATAAAGCAAATATTGTATATGTTGGTCACTCACATTTTTATCCAGCCCTTTGTGTCCTACATTAAACATAAAGTAATACACATGTGTGTACAGCAATAAAATTGATCAAGTATAACAGTCAATATTTTGAATCGATAAGCATTATGGTATCAAATAGTTGCATCATTTAAAGCATGCACGTTTTTTTGTTCGATTGTCAGATATGGCAACTAGACGATTGTCCAAACCTTCAAACCTTGATGAATTTTGTGATTCATATACATTATTTTATTTATTTTTCATTAAACTTACCTTCTGAGCTGCTGCTATTGCATTTGGATCTGCTCGATCAATTAATGTAAATTTAGCACGAAGTTTATTCTCCACCTGACTTTCCATTTGGTTTACCATCCCTTTAAATGACGAAAATACTGCCTGAATTTGTCGCACGTTAACAATGTCTATTTCATCTAAGGATCCCTCAAGGTAGCGCTGGACTTGACGCTGGATTTCGTACAACTGGGAATCAGAAAGTGGTTCATAACTGACCTGACTCCGGTTTGTCTGTCACAATAAGAAAATATAGCATTAGAGAGAAGTACACAAAATTGAATACTTTATATCAGTAAAAACGCATACAGAGAAAAATTATTTTATAAGCATATTACTTTAACACCTTAAAGAAAATCAACAACCCAGGCAATAAAAGCAGAAACATTATCTCTCAACTCATTGACAAGAGTAACACAAATCATAACTGACTGAACAAAATTCTGTGTTTGTTTCACGGAACAAATACTTTGTGAACTTACCAGTGTGTCATGCATAGCTAATTCTTGTTTCAGTGAAATAATTTCTCTTTCTAATTTTTTGACCAACAATGCCGGGTCGTAGTATTCGTTTATGGACGGTACATTAGCGATACACATAATACGTGTGGCGAATCGTAAAGTTGAGATCGTCTCTTCAATTTGCTGACTTTCACCCCATATGTTTGCTATCATTATTGTATGGCAGTTGCCACCTATAGAAACAAAATTATAGTACTGTAAGCATTATATTTGTTTCAAATATGTTCATGTACACTCACCACCTACATTTGTATGCAAAAATTGTTAAATTTTAAACTGAAAAAAACCTGAACACAGTAACATGAGTGATGAAGAAAGCTGTGTAATTAAAATCGCTTCAAAATGGTATAGATCCATTCAAGTTTATTATAATCAGCTCGTCTGGATCTTGAATTGGTCGAAAAATAGGAAATTGGAGTGATTACTTGCTTTAGAAAGTAAGGTCATGACACTGGTGGTTCTCACATGATATTCTACTTTTTTCGCCAGTTAATTTTTCAATAGAAACAACTACAATATAACTTTTGCACATGGTGGATCAGAAAAACACAATTACAAATACCGGTAGGTACTGCAACATCAATATAATATGATTTCCATGGCAACACACACAACATACCTATTGAGTCTTTCAGTGCATGCGTTAATTTGGTTTGCCTGTATGGAATATGTTCACGTTTCCTATCAGCCAATGCAATGACAGTCTGCTCTAGGAACGACAGAGATTTATTGATGTACATAGCCTCCATGGCTGTCTTACCAGCAGACTGAAAGAAACAAAGTTTATGTTGTTAACTCAGAACCGAGACAAAACATGCGTTATTGTTTTCACAATACAGTCCTGAATCATTCCTTATTGCCAAGAGAAATTAATTTGTATGCAAATGAGCAATATATGGTGATGACAATGCATTGTATATAATATCCATTGTTATGTAAATGGGCGTTCATTTATCATATGGGGCGGTGGAGAGAAAAGAAACAAGACATAAACAAACAAACTGAGGGTCTGATACACCCATAGATGTAACTCTATTCAGACGAAACCAAGGGTTATATTTCTGACAACACAGGTGAGGCATAATGTTTCCAGATTGGTTTGAGGTTTGACACTCAGTTCAAACACAAGTACACTGTTGTCATCTTATTTAGATATCCATTACATGACATGTTTAAACCATAATGTAACCAAGGCAGGAATGCCAAGTAACAAAAATACAGGAGTACATACACACTGAATTGTATTATACATTCTCAGTAAAAGACTTACCCCGGTTTTGCCAAGACGTTCTGATCCTGCCAAGTCTACTAAGTTGAGCTTAGATTTAATATACTTCGCATTTGATTCTGTTCTGGATCGCGATTCAATATGGATGGTGAAAATACAATGAGATCTTGACGAGACACTGTTCAATGAATGAGCAGCGATAGCACGGTTTGTTTCACCCTGAACAATGAATCAAAAGAGAAAAATAGTTAATTTCACGCTACACACTGATTCAAATTTAGATTTATTACACTGTAAACTATTTAATTTTCAGGATTCGATGATTTCGATGACATTCGTGAAGACAATTTTCACACAAGTCTGTGACTCGCAAAATTAGCGAATATTTAATTCTCACAAAACTGATGCAGCTTACAATATACTGGTAGCAATATTTTCCCTCAACAAGTTTGATCATTATGATGAAGAAAATGACGAAATGCACATACAAACCGACAATGTGGCGCATCATCTCTTGCCAGCCAAAGGATAATAACAAAGTATCCTAATTACCTCAAATAACAAATTGAGAGCTTCTTCCTCTGTATTTGCAAGATGCACAGACAAACCCTTGACACTGACACCACCCTGGTCATCCTCAACAATGGTCATCTGTGGGACAGACTGGATGGACTCTGGCAAAGTGGACAACAAATCAAACATCGTCTCATTGTAAATTTCTAAGTAAGATATGCGGACGGTGATGGCATGTTCCGATCTGTCTTCAACTTCCCTGTAAACCTGTAAAAATAACATATTACAAATGTAATAGACATATCATATTTGAGTTTGAAGTTTGAATACCACTGTCACAAAATACAAAACAACAAAAATAAAAGAATTTTTTTAAATTTTACTATAATATAATATTACACAATTCTACCATTGAAGCTAGCAATTGTTTGGCCACAAGTATGGATACATGTATCGTTATTTCTTATTTTTTTCTTTTAGTGGTGCATGTGATAAGAAGGTGAGTCTAAGGTAAAACTAAATCATATTTTTAATGAACCAGTGTTCACTAAATTTAATTTTTAGTTCATGTACCCTTCTGTTGAAGCAAATAGATTATGGTTTAAACCCTTACCTGAGCCAATGATCGAGGTATAAGTCCTCTGTGTTTATAGTTCTCAGTGGCTCCTGTCATGGTAAATGTCTTGCCTGCACCTGTCTGTCCGTAACACATCAATGTTCCATTGTATCCTTCTAACAAATTGTTTACCATCCTGGATGCTACATTCTCATAGACTTCATCTTGGCTGGCGTTGTGAAGAATTCCATCCACTTTGAAGTGCCAGTCCAATAATTGGTTATTGACGACTCCTCGCTTTGTGTCCTTTCGGCCATGAATGTCAATTGTCTAAAGAGATAACAGAAAATTATTGTTATTCAATGAAACAATGTAATGTTTGCAAGTTCAAATTGTTGTCATTATCTCATTACAGGTGTTGTTTTGTTAACGCACCAGCAGATTACATTAATCTATTAATGCAGTTATGATTATTTAAAAAAACAAAAACATTTTGTCTAAAGATAAACTGTAATTTAGATAATGAAGAGACAATCCCAGTTTACTAGTATTTACAATCTTGTTGAGGATTATGTTATCCCCCCCCCCCCCAAAAAAAAATACCGATAATGTCATCAAGTGTAAACACTAAAACCAAACAACTTAAAAAAGAACAAAGACAACGAATACAGTTACTCAAATCAGAACACAAAGCCTTCAGTTAGACAAGCAATGGTCCTTCACACCTACTTTGCAACGGTGAGAAAACACTGTCTTTTTATTGTCAGGGAGGAAGTGAATGGACATATTGTACTATAACCTTGAGACTATTGTATCTCGGATTTTACATATTTATGGTCATATTGATAAAAAAGTTCAAATGAATCTTGTAAATGAAATACTCAGTAGTTTGCAGATTGTAGTCATATAAAATAGCTGTGACAATGCACAGATAACAGCAGAGTCAATTCAAACAATTATCAGTCAGACACCTGTATACAAGGACCCAAGACTCCCATCTTTTATTATGCCTAATAATAGTGCTGTAATATTCCACCTTGACTACTACTAGATCTAGTCAGATTGTGGGGACAATCAATTAACACAATATGTTTTCAGCTAACCTCTTATTTTTTTTTCATTTATTTTGTAGAATTTTGTGCACAGGGCATTCAGTAAACTATATTTATTAAATAGACAGGCCAAGTTACTGTAAAATGACTAATTTTCACTGGGTTTAAATTTCACTGATTTAGCGTTTCAGGCATATTTAGTGGGTTTAAAATTCACGGTTTTATCATTTGGATAATGTGTTCTATGCTCAATTTCACATATTCACTGGGTTTCAATTTAGCGCATTTTCCAGTCAGCGAAAAAAGCCAAATTAAAACCCAGTGAATAATTAACCCCTTTACAGTACTTCACTGAACAGACACAACCTCCTTCATATGTTAAAGTAACGGACAACTTAATTTGTCTTGTCTTGACATTTTTTAAAATTATTTTTTGTAACTCCTTTGCAACAAAATACAGTAGCTAAACTATAAGATTAAAATTAAAAGATGATAAAAGCTTAAAAGAAAAAAACAAATTAATGATAGTTACAGGATTCTCCCAATGTAGAGGTGATAGCTATCATATACCTGATTTCTGTTTTGTCTTATTTAGAAACTTTGCCAGGGGTATGAAGCACGTCATTATTTTAATGAAATTGTCTGTTTTATTTAGTTTATTTTTAATTCCTATTTCTTGGAACAGCTCCCCTTTTTCTTTATCGAGAAATTCACAATCTAGGATAAAATGTTGTTTGTCCTCAACTGAATTTGTATGACATTTTTTTAGTGTTATAATGATAAGACAATGCAGATGCATATAACATATCGATTTCTTTCACAAAATTTATCGTTTAAAATGTTTTACAAACAAATGTGACAGCGACAGTAGAGAAGCCACAGGCTATTAAGGCAGCTGTAGTGATGAAATAAATAGGGCACTCAAAGTCACTGTCAAAGCATATAGGAATATCTCACCTTGCCATCTGGTCTGAAATTGAGCATATCATGAGCAAAATTAGCAGTGGGTCGTGTACGAGCATAGACATGTACTCTGTTTTTTCTATTCCTACCGTCAGCACTTGATATCCCTGACATGATGGCTGTACTTGTTATTCACCTGCTGATTAAAAAAAACACATTTATAATTGTTAAAAACATTTAAGTCCTGAATATGAGGTCAGTCAGTAATTTCGGGTAAAGTATTAATTATTAATCATATATCTTGCTTATCAGATTTCAAATATTTGAGAGATGCTCATTTTGGGACAAGAGTAGGTCCTATTTGTGATGAAGATGCAAAAAATAAGTTGTCAATTTCCTTGCACTTTTTTGTTAGAACTAATACAAGTCGTAAAGAGATGAGGGGGCACCAAATTTCAAAACAAAATTTGACAAAATGGCATATTTAAATAATATATTTTTTCTTAGGAATCAAGGAAAATGCCTTTGATGCCCTTGTGAAGTTCAAGCCTGATTCAATCTCTATTATTTCTTCATAATGAGAATTTATCAATGTAACATGTGCTGTAGAAAGTATCAACATCACAGGCAGCGATCTGTCTTCATTTTGAATTGGTGGCTGTGGGTATGTACAGTACCGGGATATACGACTATGCCAATTGTAACTCTCCGAAGTGACTCTCAAACAGACTTTTTCTTAGAACAACAAAATGCAGTGTAACACTGTGCTAAATAGGCTACCTCTGTCCTCGTGGTTCTTACAGTCACTTGAGTGCTGAAAATCCAAATTACTCTGTCAGTACTATTCATTATTAATTTTCTTCTCTGATTTTTCATATCAGAAAAAGTGCTTTCTTGTACAGGGTTGTAAGAGTTTATGGCGAAATCAGTTTTTTTGCATACGTCCATGGTTTTTTGTGATTAAAACATCTTCCCCAATATGGCGGACACAAAAAATATACAAAATTGTATCGCCACACCAACACTGCACACATCTATAAACCAAGGACATGGGACGTAATATAATAATATTTCGAACACAAATATGCACCGTCGTGCTATGCCTTCCGATAATTTAAAGAGATTTTTTGGTTAAATGGCTATGGTGTACGATTTGTGTGGTAACCACAACACTACGGGACGAGGTGAAACTTTAAATAACGGAGACAGGGAACTCCGCTCTCGTCGTTGTAACTTGACCCAATTTTCTGCGTGTACCCAAAACAGAACAACAACGCTAACGATTTACCCTACTTTTGCCAGTACGAGAGTTATCGACACGGGATAAAACGCTACGACAAGGTAACTTACCCACTTATTATTCTATCCCACTAGCCAGATAAAAAAAATCGTCGCGATCTGGACGGAAGTTGTCAAAAGACAGAGAAGGAGGCAGATACCCGCAAGATTTGTTTTCAAAGCGCTCCGTTGTTAGGCGACGGTTGACAGTTCGGTTAGTCTTTACTCCAATATCCATGTTGCATTACTGGAGAAAAGAAATGACGACATTGAGTTTCTTCTGACTATTTGTTTTTTTATCATTATTTGTAAGAGTGTTAAATACACCTTACGCGAGCAAACAAATCACATTCTTCATCTCATTTTCAATTATTTTAAATATTCAAAGAAAACAATTTTCTTTTTTTCTAAAACAATAAAAACGAACGCGCTAATAATGAATATGTAATCTACTTCCGGTATTTTATTTCCGGTTTACAGCGGATGGGAAAGAATATAAAACGATGTACGGGCAGATAGGGTATTGAATCTTTCGTCCGTGTCAGCTGATTTGTTTCTCGCGTATAAACTGAGAAACATGAACAATTCAAGGTAAGAACATATTTCGATGTTTATGAACATTACACCTTTGCCGAAGTGGCATATCAGTCGATTTTTAACGGCAGAACATGGCATCGAAGTGATGGGATACTCGCGAGCAAAAGAAATCCACCCATTGAAGTGATCTGATCCCGCCGTCTACTGAATCTGGCAGTCCGCAGGTCGACACGGACGATTAAATGTCTGAAGAGTTCTTGGTTTTGAAACAGACACATATTGAAAAAAGGTCCACCTTTGCCGATGCGACATTACATAATGATGAATACCAGTCAAAATAATATTATTTGGAATACGTTACATTTTTATTGTGGAAATGAGACACGTTCGCCCGTCTTGTGCATGACTCACCGACAATGCTAATGAGCTAGATATATATAGTATAGTATATATACGTACATACGTTGTGTAGAAATAATTCTATGGGTAATTTTATATTTCCGGGGCTATCTATTTTAAAATTGACTTCTGCAAACTGAAATGTGGATAAATATCTGGACTGATATATATGTGTAATATTAATTATTCCAAATTTATTATAAATATTGCTGTGTGTTGGAATTTCCAACTTCAGTATACGAGTATCTGAGATTTATAATTTGTCTTTGCTGTTGTCCAGTGCTGTTGAAAGTAGACATGATGCATGATAATTTTTCATAATTTATTTCTTTGAGAATATTTGGTATACTAGCCTACATGTAGCTGTACTAATTTTTTTATGATATGATTATGATATGAAATTACCACAACTGGTCTGTTAAGAGGCATATTCATTATTCACAAATTATGTAGAATCTGGGTGTGGAGCAGGCATGCGATTGCAGCAAAGAGTCATATTGACCCCCCCCCCCCTTTTTTTAGTACCAATGTTCATTGGAATTAAATACCATTACCTGAATTTTGTTAAATATTTACGAGTGATATGGTTGGGTAGACTGAATCGATTTAGTGTAGATTTAGTTGAGTAGTCATATTTAATTACTATATGTAGTTTAGTACTAGGGTAATAGTAATATTTAAGCCATATAGAAATGTTTTTTTTTTTTTCTGGTTCATTTAAATTCATCTTGCATGCTGCTCAATTCTATTATAAAAAAATATTTTGCAAATGAAATTTAATAATGCATGATGTTATGCATACAGACCAACATTTGTATGTGAATAATTTGTCTAGCATATAGCTAGAAACGGGAAGTGAGCAGTGCAGCACCCTTCAATGTCCACTTTCAATTTTGACTGAAAAATAATATGGAATGGCAAGCACAATCTATGCAATGTTGGCTTACCAGAAACTAGTAGTAGTTACTAGTTAAATTGCTGGTTGTTAGTAGTAGTAAATAATTAAATTATAATTATGAATTGGGTAATACAATGTAGTGCAGAAACAAAGCAAGACAATTCATCACTATATTTATTTATGTAGATGTAGTTGGGGTGTTCGGTTGTTACTTTGTTCATATATCAAATCAGAGTATCGGTCAGTGTAGATTACCATTATAGTCAGTGTGAAAGTTTTCAATGTGCAAAGACATGATGTCATTCTATAGGTATTCACCTGCGTTTGCATATTGTAATATCTATGTCAAAAATAACGACACAACATGTGTGCTTACCAATTGTGTTTGATTAACCCTTTCACAACCATTGTCAACTTTGTCACCTTCCACATAATAAGTAGTCCCATTCAATATATCATGACAGATTCCATACAAGACATCGATTGAAAATTTGACAAAATCAAAAGATATAAATGACATCACATGCTTGTTTTGATCTAAAATAACTGAATTTCTAGAAAATTACTGAAAAATTATATCTATTGGGTATTTAAATGTTGCTGACTGTGAAATGCACAACTGAAAGTGTTCAATAGAGGTGAAAAGGTCATATGGTATAGATAAGATGATGTTGCAAAACTGTGTTAAGTACATGTAGTCAGTATTTAGCTCACCCAGTCAATTTATCCATGCAGGCCTCAATATTTCATTCCAATTGCCATTAATATAGAAGATTCACCTATCATTGACAATATCTGCCTCATTGTGCCTCTTGCTAGTGGAAAGTTGACATTTTATGGCCCAATACTTTGTTTTTACTTGCCAAAATGATACATTTTCTCAGCATAGGGCATATGCCATCTACATGTAGACATCTTTTTGCCCTTCTGTTATTTTATACCCAAAAAGTTCATTGACCTAATCATGACCTTTTCACTGTCATTGTAAATTTCTATCAATATTTGCCACTCAATCTGCTGGAATATATTTCTGGAGCTGTAGATTACAGACTTATTCTGCCAGTTTGTGTGATAGAATTCTGGGAAAACCTATTTCATGCATGAAAGTTTTGGTTGTAAACATTTTGGTCATGCATGGATAAGTATTCAAACACCCTTATGACCTTTGACCCCTAAAGGTAATACATCCTGGCAATTTCTGGAGCAGGGATTTCTGTCTTATCACATTGACTTTGAAATTTAATGACAATTGGGAAAAGGTCATTGATAATTATTATATCAATTTGAATAGTTTTCCTCAAATCAGGTAGTAGTGACAAACATATACATGTGGTTGAATTTACATGTGTTCAAAAACACACCTCACTTGAAATATATTTTTTGCAGGATTTCCTGACATTAAAAAAAACATCCACAGCTGTTGCCTGGAATACTAGACAATAAATAAACTATGAAGTAAATGATCAAAAAAGTCAGCCTATAGTTGACAGTTAGTATCTACAATATGATATTCAGATTCTCTATTTTTTTCTCGTCCACTGGGGGAAAAAAATGTGGGTCAACATTATATAAATTCTTACAGTGTATATAATTTCTCAGTTGCATTTCCATTGCTTGTAGGGATTGATCAACATTTCAAGGGAATTGTGGGAAAAATTATGCCAGCTTTTTTTGTGAAAAGTGAAAATGATATTGATGTTGAAGGGTTGAATTACTTGGCAGAATAAAAAACTAAATACTGTATTTGCTCTATTAGAATCTCATCTCCGCTAAAAATGCATCTCCAATAAAAGCACATTTTCAGTAAAAGCACATTTTCAGTAGAAACACATTTCCAAAAAAAATATTGTATTTGCTCTATTAGAAGCACATCACAGCTTGAAATGCATCTCCACTAAAAACACATCTCCAGTAGTCGAGCATCTCTGATTAAAGTACATCTACAATAAAAACACATGTAAACCAATATTCGTGGCAATTGTTGCATGTTTTATATGCTGGATCATCACAAATACGACTTATTTTCACGATAGACACCTGTCATTTATGTGAGCTCTTGTAATTCTAATAAAACAAATGTGATAATATGCATGTATACAATATAAACAATATAGGGAATAAAAATATTGACAGGAAACCTTTCAAGACTGTTACAAAAAGAAATTATGCATAAATACAATGGGTGTCCATTAGTATTCAATCCAAATTTATTTAGCAAGTACAAATTTCATAACAATATTTTAAAATTGATGTACTATTACAATATATTAAAACAAAAATTCATGTTAAATTGTGAAATATAATATTTCACATAGACAGGGTAGTGATTCCACAGGTGGTGGCTGTGGTATTTAAACATGGATCAGATTTCAGGTCATTTCATTAACCTTGGAATGTCTGCTATAGGAGTAAATGTGATTTAAATACTGGTTACAGCTGATTCATTTATGGTGGCTAACAATTTATGCATGGATAGGCACCCCTATTTTACTAATTAACATTAATTCCCAAATGTTGTTTAGAGTGACTGGGCGTGGCTTGTTGTTTTATCAGATCAGTTGCATGGGTCAAGTTAGTCATGCACAGAAAATATTAATTCATAATTTGTTTTTATCCCAGGTCATGGTCTAATAACTTAATATTGTATTTTCTCTATTACTAGCACATATGCTCACCTAAATTACAGAGGTGTTTCTATGGTCAAAATTAAATAATTAATATTTTAATGATTCAGTAAACAAAAAAATTAGTTCTTAGTTTATTTCTGTTGGAGATGTGTTTCTGAAAGAGCAAGACTGACTGTCATTAAAATACCAAAACCAACCTTTTATCACTTGACAAAATAAACACTATAATTTATTCCATATTTAAAAAAAAAAAAAAGACTAAGACGTGTACTAGCTATAACCAATTGAAAGTTATACATGTATATACATTTTAACTGAAATTATCAAAGACATTAATGGAATAAAAACTTTTGCACCAACATTGGTGAGGTGAATTATAGTGTCCATACAAAGGTATCATATTTCCAGAACAAACTTGCAAAAATTTGAGTTTAACTCTTTGAGATTTTTTTTGCTTAAATTCAGGTAAAGTTGTAGATTCAGGTACACATTTTCTGTAAATTTCACTGAATTCAATCTTAATTTTGGGCCGAACAGATAAAATGTGACATTGATTCTAGTTTTTGATGAAAAAAATTAAAATTTTTGTAACATGTGGAAAATAGCAGACTATAAATGGAACTGAAGTTGATAGTGGATTAAATTTTAAAAGGAAAAACAAATTAACAAATTAGTAGACACTGATGTTCTAGGGTGAGCTCCTAGGGGTTGACAGGCTGCCTTTTAATTAATTAACATAAGTATTAAATGACAGATCTTTCTCAAATCACTAAGCACATTATTTAAGTAGGGCACCAGTTAAAAATAACATTATCTGGTATTCTGTATGTGTGATATTGTCTTCTAAAGCTTTTGGAAGAGTCTATTATTGGTGGGAGCTGAGGATTCCCACTGGAAGAGGAGATTTTGAATAAATGAAGTTCACCCTTTTATTGACAGCATTGAACTTGGCTGTGTAACTTTAGTACCTATGTGTAAGGTCAAGCAGTTTCAAAATCAAACAAACGTTAAAACTTCAATAAAGGCTGGTTGAATCCTCTGTACACATCAGTTGTCCATTTTATGGTCTATGATGGAAAAGACCCTGTGTAATGGGCAAATTAAACGGCTGAATTAAGATCTATTCTTTG